ATTTGATTATGTTTATCTACAGTTAGTTACACGAATTCAAATATAGAGTTTTAATAAGTTGTACTTATGCATAATTTACTTGTAATCTTGAATTTTCAGAAATATGCATCAATATACAGTATTTCATGCATAAAAAATGGTTTTTTAAGAGTTTTTGTCAAATGTTTTATAATATATATATATATATATATAGAGAGAGAGAGAGAGAGAGAGAGTTTGTTTCAAATGCAACCTATCACATTTGTACAACCAATGCAACCCAGTACATTGAAATATATATGGAAATGATGAGAGCTCATTTATTAAGATATAAATATTTATGAAAGATGAATAAGGTTCATTAATTATGATCAATACTTTATATTATAAAACAATCAAAACTTCTATTAAATTACATATTCATCAAATTAAATGGACGGTTGAGATTAAGTTGTATTGGTTGTACAATGTAAGGGATTGTATAATAACACACATCTCTCTCTCTCTCTATATATATATATATATATATATATGTGTGTGTGTGTGTGTGTGTGTGTGTGTGTGTGTCAGGCGAAAGATCGTGTAAGAAAAAGGGATACTGTGAGAAAGCGTAAGAAGACATGTGGACCCTTGATCAATTTTAATCTCTTACAAATCCATGAATTGCGTTTCTCACGTGAATTGATATGGTACATCTCGATCCATCTCATCCTAATGTGCATTCAAATGTGAAGATTTCTTTTTGCATTTATCACCTTAATTCTCTCCCACCGGAACCCAACCCTTGTGTATGATGTGTATATACACGTTTGTATAGAAGTATTTTAGTTTATTATTAAATATATAATCTATATTATATTATAAAGTATTTTGAAACAAATTCTTAAAAATCATATTTTATGTATCGAGTATTGTTTATCGATGCATAAAAAAAATTGGGGTTATCCACTAAAAACTACGATACAACTGTTTATCAATGTTTTCATGGTAGTCTTGATTTTACTAAAGATGATGAGGACGTGAACTCCTAATCGTTTATGCGTTGGAGAGACTGTTTCTTTAGGTAAAGGACAAAATATAAAAAGACAAAGGAATTAGTAAAAAGACAATAACACCCTTCATTCATAGACTTCTTTTTAACAAAGTTAATGAGAAGGATTGTTTTCAAAGCAAAATGTAAATCATAGGAACGCTAACTGTACTTATTGAAGTCCAGGGATGGCCTTCGTAGTTGGGTGTAAACCACAGGGACCAAAATTGTATCTTCCTTTATTATAAAGTTAACTGTGTAATTATTAGAGTCAAATGACGAAAATCAAAATTTCCGCAAACCACAGGGACGATTTATGTAATTAACTCAAAAACTTTTGAACACGTTTGGTACGCGTTGGAGCTTCCAATGCTCCTTCCAAGAAACCCCACATAACAAGAAGGAAACACCACCGAACCTCCTCTCCTATAAAAACCTCCAACCACCAATTTTGAAACCCCCAGCCCCAGTGAAACCCCAACGAAATTCAATATCTAAAACAGATCGATCATCATGAGTTATTACAATCAAGGCCAGCCTCCCGTTGGTGTTCCTCCTCCTCAAGGTTTTGGGATTAGATTACTTTTGAGTTTTGTTTTTGATCGGATTTTGGTGGTTTAGTCAAGATCTGGGAATGAAACAATGGATGATTAAGGGTTTATGTGTTTGATTGTTGCAGGTTATCCACAAGAAGGGTATGGGAAAGACGGCTACCCTCCACAAGGATACCCGCCACCAGCGTACCCACAACAGGGCTATCCTTCTCAAGGCTATCCACAACAACAGTATCCTCCTCAGTACGCCCCACAGTACGCAGCTCCTCCTCCTCAGCAGCAAAAACAAAGCAGTGGTTGCCTAGAAGGCTGGTAATCATCAATAACTCCAACTCTCTCTCTCTCTCTGTCTCTCCTCTCTCTAAGATCGTTGATTCTGATAAAATTTAGATCATGATTCTGGTAGATTATGGATCAGATCTGGATTGTCGAGTTGTAATTTTTCCAAATAAAGCAAAATCGAGTCAACTCGGTTGACAATTTTGACCTTGGATCGGAGTTTTCTAGACCTGCAAATGGGATTGTTATGGTCTTATGCTTCAGGCCGATATTTGGGGGAAATTTTAATTTTCCATGGATTTAACTTAATTTGAAAGGGAAATAATAGAACAGATGATGAATTTGTGCCAGAAAGCAGACAAAACTGTGTTTTTTTATGGAACAGTTTGATTGAAAAGAGGCAAAAGGTTACTGTTCATAATGGGTAGGGTAAATCTTTTCACTATAGTGATCAACTAATTTGGATACAGGTGGTTTCATCTGGTTGTCATTTGATCTCAGAACATTAATGGTTGTTTTGTGCTCTTTTGCACCAACATTCATCAATGCAATCGCCTTTTGTTGGCCAATAATGGGTCCTCGTAGATCTTGATTTTTCGCTAGATCGAGTGTTTCGATTGAACTATTTGATCAGCATCTGGAAAAAAATGTGTTTGTCAGTTGGCTTTGTTGTTCTTCATCAGCATTCTTTCCTTGATTCAATCCCTTTTTTACCCAAGACTCTATATCGTGTTCATCGTGCAGCTAACAGCTGGTTCATTCAGCCAACAACTAGTTTTCAGCCCAAAGGGCTTTTTCTTTATGTCATTTTGAGTTAAGTCTGAAGGTGTGATTTTGTATGATTGGTGTGCAGTCTGGCTGCCCTGTGTTGCTGCTTTCTCTTGGATGCATGCTTTTAGAAGAAGGCTTGAATTGGTACATTGGAGTTTCGAGCTACCGAAAACTTGATTCTCGTACATGGACATTTGTTTTACTTCTCGTAATAACTTGCGACTTGAAAAGAGATTCGAGAATGTATCTTTCTCATCGATCGTTTGTGCTTCTTTTTGTGATTTGGTGAAATTCTGGTTTTAGGTTTGTAAATTGTGAGGGGTTCATTAAGATTATATGAAAACTACATTGGCAAAACCTTGTTATATGTTGTATAATGGTTGTGTGTCTTTTTTATGCTTCTTGTTTTGTATTCATTTCTGACATGTCTGTTGATACTGGTTAAATGGTATCCATTTGTGCAATAATGGTTGTGGATGGTGAGAGGGTTTTATTGGAAAATGCTAAAAGGGAAACAATAGGAATTAGTTAACAGTTTTGGAAGGCCAAGTCTGAGCTGTTGGGTACACCTGGAAACAGAAAGTCTGAGCTGTTTGGTGCGCCTGGAATCTGCATTGCTTTAATTCTTTCCATTCTTACCCCTTCCTATATAATAATTCATAAGTGTAAGTGTGGTGTTTGATTGGTTTGAGCTTAGCTTCAAAGATCAAAAGTACCAGAAGGTCTCAGGTTCAAATCCAATGAGAAATAAAAATCCCCTTGTGGCCATAGAGGTTCAAATGTGGTGATGATTCCCAGCTACTTGAAAAGCAAATGGTCGTCTTGGGATTAGTCGGCTCGCATAACGGTTGGATATCCAGGTTAATAAAAAAAATCATATGCAAGTGAATATGCGTATTTACATAAAGAAAAGGTTATATTATAGATTGAAAATGTGAAAATAATTTCTGATGTTTAAATGTAGAATAAGTTTTTTGTTTCAACAAATTTTTCATAACTTTTCTTCAAATTTGACAAATTACGAAAAAGAGTATTAAAATTTTCAAATATGAAGAGAAATTATCCTAGAGATTATTTTAAGAGAAATCGACTCAATTGATGATTTTCCACACTTAAATTGGTTATCTAACCATCTTTTTCTCGTGTTTACCCAAATGTCATTATTTTTGTAACATTCAAGTCTACAATATTAGCTAAAAGACAAACAAAAATCAAATTCAACCAGTTTACCGTCGCAATCACGGACATGACCCTCGTTATTGCAGACCTTGTCGTTGCAATTTCGGATTAGGTCGTCACAATTGCATTTGTGTTGAATTTGATTTTTTTTTTTTTTTGTCTTTTAACTAATATTGTGGACCTAGCTAATATTACAAACTTGTATATTGCGAAAGTAGTAACATTTGGATAAAACCAGGAGAAAATTGATTAAAAGACCATAAGTCAATTTCCCTTTTTTTTTTTTTTTTGTAACCCACCAACAAAAAGCTAACAATAATGTTTGTGATAGATAACGAATTGAGTAAACTTCATTTTTGGTCTTTGAGGTTTAGTAAATCTTTGAAAGTGAAACCTGGATTTTAATAAGTCAAGATATCGTCTCTTAGGTTTCGATTTTGCTTTGAAAATAAGACATGCTCACTAATTCCATCTATTTATAACGGTTAAAACCGGGGTAAAATCATCCAACCATATTTTCTTATTTTTATAAAAACAATCAAACCGTAGGGACCAACTACATAACTAATGGCAATCCATCTTATATATAGGTTCATATTTATCTTATAATTTAATGACAAGGATAAATATGTAATTTTATTTTTTATGTAACTTTCATATCATTAATTAGGAATTACAAAATCAAAAAATTCAATGATTTTTCAAACCACAAGCATTAGGTTGAGTTGTTCATATGCCTTCAATCTAGCCAACTCAACTCATGCCGAATCCTATTTGGTGGTATGTATAATTGGAAAATTGCTTGTTTCTTCTTAGAATTTGGTGTAGAAAACATATCATGGATAAAATATATTCAAGAAAACTAACAACAAGGACATGTGGGCATTTGGTCTAGTGGTATGATTCTCGCTTTGGGTGCGAGAGGTCCCGAGTTCGATTCTCGGAATGCCCCTTATTTTATTACATTTGTTTTTTAGTAAATTTACGCTTCTACCCCCTACAACTTTTGGTTATTCAGATGTTACAACCCGAAAATGGTTAATTATATATACAATGACAACAAACTTTTTTGGTCATTGAATTTTATTAAATTATAAAGAAAATTTTTTAACTTTGTAAAATCTTTAGTTAAAACAAATATAAGAATAAAATGTATAAAATAGCAAACTATTTTCATAAATTTTCTTATTATAACAATGTACATTTAAATTATTTTTTATTAGAATATTGTACTTTTAAAATTTTACCTATTATAGCACTGAGTAACCTTTTGATTTAATTTACTCATTATACCAGGTTGCATGTCAGTCACTATCGACATGTATTATAGTTGATGTGATATTTTTTTATTATAACATTGTACTTTCAAATTATTTTATCATAACATCAATCAGTTCTTTAAAATATTATATTTTTTATTTTAATATTTTATTATTTAATAAATATATTAAATTAATTAGAAAATTTCTAAATTACTCATTAATATACGAATATTAACAAAACTAGTAAAACAAATTACAATTTATCTTGCTAACATCTTAAACAAAACTTTAAAAGATATGTAATTTTTTGAACAAAATAAAATAAGAAGTGTTACTTTTTTTTACAAACAAAATAATTATCTCGAAAATAATACATCATATTTATTTAATAAATATTTTACTCTAGAATATTTAATTTGCAATCAATTTAATAAGAAAAAGTCAAAGAAAAAATTAAAAAGTTTCTTAAATCGTAGAAATGAAAATCATCAAAAATAATTTGAAATAAGTTTTTATCTAATTTGAGCCAAGTCATGAAAATTATGTATCATCCAAATCATCCCATTGAAACCAAACAAAAGTAAAGGAGTTAACCAGTTTAAAAGGTAACAGGTTACACATTGCTATAATGAGTAGATTTTTCAAACTACGATGCCCTAATAAAAAAATAATTTGAAAGTACATTGTTGTAATAAGAAAAAAATAAAAGTAGAATGCTATAATAAGAAAGCTATGAAAGTAAGTTGTTATTTCATGCACTTAACCCCAAATATAAAACTTTAATGAATCTAGTACGACCAGATAAATGTTTTACTGTCGAATTCCACCTCCCAACTGTTGGTCTAGTAATATAAAAGAACTCTAAAAAAAAGCCTCCAACAATTATTCCACCACCTCATCCTCGTTCAACCCCTTCTCCTTGCCCAAACCTAGTCGTCTGCGTCTCTGCTTCCCCTCCCCCCTCCTTGGTTGGTTTGCGCTAGCGTCCCCTACTCATGTCGCCTCTTTGGTTGGTTGCGCTAGCGCCCCCTACTCAGGTTGCCTCCTTGGTTGGTTGCGCTAGCGCCCCCTACTCGGCCGCCTCCTTGGTTGGTTGCGCTAGCCCCCCCTACTCGGCCGGCTTCAAACCCGAGAGGTTATGCCTCATGAGTAATTATTGTTTTCATCTTCTTTGTTCCTTCCTCTTTGTCATAATAGTTTTTAATTAACACTATCGAACTAATAAATATGAGTTGGAGTCTATGCGTAGCATGTTATTCAAATTTAAACAAAAAATATATAAAATAAAAACAACATTCTAAGGATTAACGAATGTTCAACGAAATATATCGAGATAATATTTCGTTTTATTGTTTGTCTCTGTTGATATAATACAGTGTTATGTGACTTTTAAGAAAACGATAGTGTTTATATTCATAAGAATTTGAAACAAATATATCGATATTAGTATCAAATTAACTATTTAAAATTTCTCATTCTTTACGTAATTTCTTTAATTCGAAATTTTTATTATAATTTCATTTAGGTTTAATAACAAAGTAATTCAATTTGATTTAATAATATAATTTTTATAAGGATAATAATTAAGTATTCCGTTATAAGTATAACTCAGTGATTAATCTAATTATATTTTAGAATTTTTATATTTAAAATAAAATGTTTATCATGTAGTTGATTATGTTTATATGCAGTTAGTTACACGAATTCAAATGTGAAGCTTTAATAAGTTGTACTTACGCATAGGTTTCTTGTAATTTCAAACTTTAAGTAATATGTATCAATATACAATACTTCATGCATAAAAAATATTTTTACGAGCATTTGTCAAATGCTTTTATAATATAGTATGTATGTGTGTGTATGTGTATATATATATATATAGACTTGGGATCATGTGAGA